CTGAGAGGGACATGATCATGATCATGATGATGATGATGATGAAGAAGAAGATGATGGTGATGTTGTTGTTGTTGTTGTTGTTGTTGTTGCTGTTGTTGCTGTTGTTGTTGTTGTTGTTGTTGTTGTTGTTGTTGATGAGGATGATGATGGCCACGATGATGATGATGATGATGAAATTGATGGTGATGATGATGATGATGATGATGACGGTCATGACGGTGATGGCGGTGATGGTGATGATGATGGTGGTGATGATGATGACGGTGGTGGTAATCATGAAAGTGATGCGTGTAATGATGATCGTCATAATGATCATGACGATGGTGAGAATGGTGATGAGGATCATGATTGTGATGATGATGATGATGGTGATGATGGTGAAGACAAAAGTGACAATGTTAAATTTCAGAGTGATAATGATGAGAATGTTGATAATGATAGCGATGGTAGTGATTAGGTTGAAGATGATATGGATGATAGTGATCCTGATGGTGATGAAGCTGATGGTGATGATGGTCAGAATGGTGGTAACGATGGTGCTGACGCTGAAAGTAATGATGATGATGGTGAAGATGATGAATGAAAATAAGATTGACGGTGGTGAAGTTGATAGTGATGGTGGTCAAGATGAAGGTGACGATGGTGACGATGGTGATGATGATGGTGGTGGTGATGATGATGATGATGTTGACGATGGTGATGATGATGGCGAGAATGAGGATGAGGATGGTGATGAAGGTGATGATGGTGAGGAGCATGGTCAGGATTATAGTGATGATGGTGAAGGTGATCGTGATGGTGATGTTGATGATGATGATGGTGAAGCTGGAAGGCGATAGTGATGATGGTGTAAATGATGATGAAAGTTAAAATGATAATGATGATAGGGATGATGGTGAAGATGACTGTGATGGTGGTGAAGATGAAAGTGGTGAAGGTGACGACAACGACGATGATGATGATGTTGAAGGTGATAGTGATGAAGGCAAAGGTAATAATGATGATCGTGATGACAACGGTGGTGATGATAGTCCGATGATAAAGGTGAAGATGATAGTGATGATGGTGTTGATGAAGACGATGATGGTGGTGATCATGATGGTGATGATGAAGATGATGCTGATGAGGGTGATGATGCTGCTCATGATGATATTGCTGTTGATGTGGCTGCTGCTGGTGATGGTGATTATGATGATGCTGATGCTCTGCTGCTGATGATGAAGGCGATGATAATGGTGAAGATGATGCTGCTGATGATGATGATGATGATTCTGCTGATGATGGTGCTGATGCTGCTGCTGAGGTGATGGCAATGCTGGTGGCAGTGATGATGATGATGATGATGATGATGCCGACGCTGATGACGAGCATGCTGCTGCTGGTGATGATGCTGCTGATGAAGGTCGCTGGTGCTGCTTATGATAACGATGTTGCTGCTGATTGTGGTGATCATGATGCTGCTGATGATGGTGACGATGATGGTGATGATGATGGTGATGCTGCTGCTGCTGATGATGATGATGCTCATGATGTTGCTGCTGTTGATGGTGATGCAGCTCATGATGATGTTGTTGCTGCTGCTGATGATGATGATGATGGTGATGATGATGATGATGGTGATGCAATGAATGTGTTTCTGATGAGGTTGATGAAGCAGGAGATGATGATGATGATGATGGTGATGATGATAAACATGGTGATGTTGATGGGTAATTTCGATGATATTGGTCATGATGGTGATGATGATTATGGTGATGTTGGTGCTGATGACGGCCATGATGATGATGATGACGATGGTGATGATGATGATGATGACGACTTTGATGATGATGATGATGATGATGATGATGGGTGATTTAGGTGATTTAGGTGATTCTGGTGATTCTGATGATGATGTTGATGCTGATGATGATGACGCTGCTGATCATTGGGATGATGATGATGGTTCTGATGGTTCTGATGATAATGATGCTGATGCTGATGCTGATAAGGATGAATCTGACGATCTTGATGATGATGATGATAATAATGATGATGATGGTGATGATGATGCTGAAGATGATGATGGTTCTTCTTCTACTATTGATGATGATGATGAAGATGATGAAGAACTGAACAGCTGAACAGCTGAAACAGCTCAAACAGGGCGAAACGGCTGAATCACTCAGAGTGATTCACTTGCTGATCAACCGTGGGTGATTCAGCCCGGGTGAGTCACTGCCGCAGGAGTATTGTGGTGTCCAAGGGAACCATCGGCCATCCGCACTCCTGTCGCGGTTTGGGGTGCAAATTCGCGTCAAAGGAACGGGGGTGCCGAGAAGGCCTGGAACTTGGCTGGTTCTGGGATGGGAATTAGAGGACGTGGGGTTATCAGCTGGCACTTTCGGACATACCCCAGAATCTCTATGATTTCTATGATTTCTGTCTCAGACAGCGGTTCACGCAAATACCATCGAATTTCGTTCGTTTTCCTCTGCTCCAGTGGATGTTGTGAAGCTGCAGAGTGATACCGAAAGCATTTGTGAGCACTCAGGTCATTGGAGCATCAACGACCATGTCCATGTCAAAAGAAGGGATTACAACTGCTAAGAGTGTCGGCAGTACGGTTCTTGGGCTAGATGTATTAATCACAAAAAGGCGCAGATTGTCCTCGTTGCCACCTGTGTGTTTGGAGCCGCGCTTCGGAAAAGGACAGACTGTGGGTGATGGGTTGGAAGCAGGTTGAACGAACTGGTTGTGTATAAGGGCGAAGAAAACAAAAACATCAAGGGTTTCCTGTCAGTGACCGAGTTCGTCGTTTAGATGGGTAGGGGCTTGAGAGACGGGTTGAGACCCTTTTGTTTGTCGGTTTGAAATTTGCAGTGTCAAGAAACAGTTTTTTTTGACGAAAAGAAATGCCCTTCTAATTTGTCTAACGATGGCTTTGAAAGATGGCGGTATGAAGTTGTCACAAAAGCTAGCTTGTGCTAGCTGAAGTTGCTCTTGCTTCAGCAAGGAATAGGCAGCCAGGACCGTTGAATTCCTTGAAACTTTCAAGCTGATACCTCCCCCTCCCCCGGCTGGCAGGCCCAGGTTCACTTCCCCCTCGGGGGCAGGTACAGGTTTGTCATCTTTATCATCATCTGCGTCTTGATCTTCAGCTTTTTCATGTTCATCTTACTTCATTAGGAGCTTTGTCATGATCATTGTAGTCCTCGTCACTGTCATTGTCATTGTCATCGTCACCGTCACCGTCATTGTCATCATCGTCGTCATTGTCATCATCGTCGTCGTCGTCGTCGTCGTCCTCGTCCTCGTCCTCGTCCTCGTCCTCTCCCTCGTCCGCGTCCTCGTCCCCGTCGTCCTCGTCGTCATGGTCGTCGTCGTCGTCATCATCATCATCATCATCCCTTTGGTGGTTGGACCCTCCTCTTTTAGTTGACAGTCTCCGGTACAACATTATAGAACCGTTCTGCTAGCTTTCTTGCCTCTCAAGTTGGTAATAACAAGCTTCTGTTTGTAGACAATGGTAATTTGTATGACTTAGACTATGGTAAGTTGTATGACTCAAGCTAGATGAAAATTTTGGAGGGCTTCTGCAGTGCTGTTCAACACCTTGCCTCCGCGTGCAGGAGGCGAGCCAGGCCGTGTAAGATTTGTGAATCGTTTCTCCTAAAGTCATAAGGCCGCTTTCAACCTCTGCTTTGGACAGGATCCACGAAAAAATTCATCTCTGCGGACCATCTAAATAGCCGGCACTCAACATACAATCTGAAAACTTTATGTCGCAGTTCTTAAAAAGTCTGACAGCCCTTCTGTAAACATCGCACCATGTGGGTCTATTTGCCCATGTCCCCGGCAAAACAATTCTTTCATCTTTGGGGGCAAGGCATGCAGATGTGCAAAATCCTGGGCCAAATTTACAGAGTGGGCCAAACGCTTACCTTTCGGGTGGCGAAACGTCTCACCTTAGAACGGTTCAATCCAGATGTCCAAGCTGAATCCATTTGATGCCTCTGACGCCACACGTGCTTCTTGGTCTTTTGGCACCGAGAAAAAATCACACAATCAATCAGATACTCAGGATATCCATAAACAATTTTTGTTCTAAATTTCGAAGCTACTGGCAGGCCAGGGGTAACCCCGAACGTAACACCCTCTCACGAGTTTTGCAGAGGTGTGCATAGGGAGAACTGGTTCCCAATGATTTGAGAATCCAATTTGCCCTGTGTGTGCTGGCGTTCCATGGACGTTTGGAGGCAGCAGCTGTATGTGCCCGAATGATCCCAATGATTCTACAAGCCCGAAACAGTTAAAACCTTGCGCACCGCGGAATGATGTTGACACGGGACTGAGGGCTGAAATCAGGAATCACAAGACTGTGCCAACGTGGAGCTTTGGCCAAGTTCTCCGCGGCGCGTGGCTCCTTACAAGAACGAGCCAGCTGCGACAGCCTACGCGGGTAAATCTGAAAAATGTTTTCCAAATTGACTGCGTCAAGAGGGGAGAAAGCAGACATTTGGACTAAAGCGGAGCTAGAGTCCAGGGCAATCGACTGAGCGCAAGGCGGGAAGAACCCCGCAAGCGATTGCAGTTTTGTGGATGTCCATCGTCAGAGGCAGCTTTCATGTCGCGGTGGGAGACTTCGGATCGATTCTCAGATTTGGATGAAGGCAAAATCGGCAGTGAAGCATAGTAACGCCCTATATTTGATGGTCAAAGAAACATGGTTTTCTTCAGATTTTCCTTCCAAACCATTGATTGATTTGGTGTGGCAAACACAACCTTCCAAGTCTTCCACTCAAAGACCCAGCGGCGAAGCAGCCACCGTCGTCGGCCTCACCACCTGGAACTTGGCCAACGGAGCTGCCATGGTGACCAGTGGTGAGCTGGCGGAGTAACGTTCGTGGCAAAGTCAGGAGACTTCAGAATGATTTCGTGCCAGAAACGACAGATGTTGCAGTGGCTCATAGATTCCACCAGACAACAAAAGCATAACCAAAGGCAGTTGGCCGACGATTTTGGACCATTGCATGCACCCCCAGCACGAAGACATTCTTGGTGTTTTGTCAATTGTTCGGTTTCAGTGGTACAGTCTAGTGGCTTCCGGCAAACATGGCTGAGGCACGACTCTTGTCATCCATAGATGCTGGCTCTGGAAGGTGGGGGTTCATGTGGCAAAGTGGCTGGGGCCACTGGGAATCAACTTCTGGGGAACCTGGCAGGCTATCCTTTACTCAGTTCCAAAGAGCGCTGCAAGAGGACTGGGCGGAGAGATTTGGGTGGAAACTTGAGGAGCTGTTGGTAGTTGGTCAATGAAGCCACAAAAAAGCTTGGCCTGGAATTCAAGAATAAGCCACAACCCATGAAGTCTAGTTACTTGATATTTTGACACGGTGTGCTGAGAGAACAACATGGAATCACAGTTCAGGAGAACAACGTTCAATTTGAGGTACCATGGCCTCCCCCACTAACGAAGGCTTTTGGTGATCCAGGACCATTCCGGGGTGCTTGCATCGCATTCATGAGACACACGCTTAATTTTTTTTGTCCTTTCTGAAGGATCCACAAGAGCCAGCCGCACTAGTGCGGACTCCAGAGATTCCTAGCTGCTTGCAATTGACATTGTACCCGACCCTTCAACTGTTAATCAGCTTGAAAGCGTCACAGCCATTTGACAACTGCACATGCCATCATTAAAGTTGCCTTTGTGAGCTGTCACGCTGTGCAGTCTGGACGCCCCAACGTCTTCAATGATCAGGCCTGGTGACAGCTGCTGTGCTTATGCAGACAAGAAGTAGTGATTGGTGCTTTTTCCGCCAAGAGGTCAGCAATGATGTAGACGTCTATTCCCACAATCTTGATTTTCCTTGTCAAAATGGTTCAACATTGGCATTTGGGTGTATCTGATGCCCATTTGCAGCAGTTTGCCTCAGGGGCATCTCTATCCCATCAGGACTATGAAACCGCGATCCGCTTTCTGGTGATGTGTATCCTTGTTGCGAAACTGCTAGATGTTGGAATCTTCAGTACAATATCCCATACATACTATTTGCAAGCCCGGCGTTGCTATAGTGGCTATAGCGAGCATCTGCCTGTCTGCCTGTCTGTCTATATGTATGCCTGTATTGTACGTGTGTGTGTGTGAACCATCTGAAGAGATGTAAAGCTTCTAACCTGTTGGAATTCCGGTATTCTGTTTTAAGTTTTGATTTCATTTCATTGCGTTTCAGATTTGCAGGGGGGCAATCTCATGTTTGCGGCTGATTGCCCAACGAAGAGGGCTGCATTGATGACTGATATGACTCTGGGACGCTGGAGTCACGTACCTGCCATTTCAAAACCTTTTGCAGTTTTTATTTCATCCTATATGGCAACTGGCTAAGCCCAGAACCACCCTGGCAACAACACTGGCTATGGCGATGATTGCTCCATAACATTTCTCGGGTCTCTTCATCGACCCGTTCCTGCCAGGTGTAATGGAAGTGCTTTTGCACGTCAGATGCATTCCACAACAAAATTCGCAATGACAGTTCTGAGGAAGTGTGTTACTCACGGCGATTTGACACGATGGCGTGAGCCCCTCGGGGAATACCTGTCTAGGTAGGAAGTTTGATTTTTCGACCTGATCTCTGAATTTACTTTCTTAAATTTGGTAATTCGTTTAAGTAAAGTGAAGCAGTGGGCTTTTTTTCGCTTCTCACTTCTCACCCTGTCGAATATCGTTGTGTTGAACTGCTGCCCGCTGTTTGGGGACCCACCTTTTGTCTCGGAGGGAACTGCATGAAGGGATACTGAACCGAAGTGGGTGTTGTCGGCCGTGAAAACTTTCCTTTTCAATGATGCTCAAGAGACTGCCCAGCTTTTGTCGCAATATGCAGCATGATTGATGTTACAGGTAGGTGCATGCATTCCAGGTTTGGTACTTTCTTTCTTGTGATGGTCGTTGGTGAGGTTCAACTGTGCACTTGATTCATCTGGGGACTATTGACAGCCGTCTATGGGTTGACGTGACCACTGAGGGCCTGGAGCCTTATCGCGATTCTTTGCATTTGTTTGTGGATGCGTCAATTTTGTTGACGCTGTTGCCTCAGATTTCATCTGACCCCTACGTTTCTGCCATGTTCCTGTTTCCGTGGAACTTCGATCATGGATGAGTCCATCTACATCCAATCCGGATCCGATGATGCAACCCATGTGGACTCTGACGGCAAACACATGTGTTCTTCCAGTTCCTGGCATGGGTGGACATTTCAATGGAGTCGATCCTCAGATGCAACAACAGGCGCAGTCCCAAGCTCAGATTTCATCTTTGCAGCAGCAAAATGCTCTTCTCAACCAACAACTTGCCACTCAAGCTGCGGCCCACATCCACCTACTTCAACAATTCCTGCAACCTCCTAATCCCACAGCTCCTTCATCATCACCTACTCCACAGGCTCCTCCACCATTGGAACCTCCACAGCCGAAGGTTCCACCTGAAGTAAAGACTCCACATCCACCTCCATTCAACACTGTCGAGATGGTCCAGAAGATTCGAAGCAACTTCAAAGAGGAGATGATGAACACTTTCCGCCAATTTCAAGACGCCCATCCAGCTCCAACCCTTCCTACGCCACCTACTCCTACCCTTCCACCACAACCACTACTGGCGCCACCTGGCGTTCCACAACCTTCCAACATTCCACGGTCACCTGTCCCACACCGTCGATCACGCTCACCACTCCACACCAGAGACCACTACCGTGAGGATACTGTCCTTCGTTTGGACAAACGACCTGTCTCCCACCATCACAGTCCACCTCGGCGACGTGCCAAGTCGACTTATTCCATGAAAAGTCATCGACAGCCTTCTCAATCACCACGGGAAAGCTCTCTGAGGCTACGCTCACGGACGACCTACGCACTTGTCGGACCCATTGGGCATGTCTAAAGGACGCCCCATGAAACGGTGGCTGAAAGTCACTACGGCCAACACGGACTGGTGCAACCCTACCTCGCTTGTCGTGCAAAAGGTTTGGGCTCGACCCTTCGAATGCTTGCTAGGCACAAAAGGCCATACACTTTCAGCAGACTGCTCAAGGTTTTTCCACAAAGCAGCATATTTGGCAGAAGGGCTACCCTCAAGGGAGTCCCAAACATCACTAGGAACATTCCAGTGAGTTGGCCAGGGAAAAGGACCCTGATCTTGGAGTGGTCGACATGGCGGTGGATGCTCCGACCGTCAACAGGCACTCTTTGCTCCTCGGGCTGGTGGTGGCTCTATCTCCAGGGTGGACCATCCGCATTGGTGACATCAGGGCGGCTTTTCTCAACGGGGTGCAGTCTTCTAGGAGGCTATTCTTCCGTCAGCCTGCAAGAGGCATCCCTGGTTTACGGCCTGGGCAATTGGTGGAGATCTTGAAGGGAGTTTTTGGTTTGGCCACCTCGCCAAAGCTCTGGTGGTTGAAGCTATCTACAGATCTGCTACAAAAGACATCAGCCACAACCAAGACCAACAATATGGCTGGAACTATGGCCAATATGACCAATGGGGTCAATACGGTCAATCCGTCCAATATGACCACAATGACCCACAGTCCCATCAAGTCCTTCTCCATGCGGCACAGCCCACCTCCACGTCCAAGCCCAGTACGGCTTATTCCGACAAATCCTCTTACTATCAACAATGATTCCCAAGACAAGAAGAAGCCCTCTCGCACTTCCTACAAGCTTGGGTACACTCAAAAGTCAGGCAGACCAAAAGATCAGAAATCTCATCGTTCTGACCGTGGCGATCAACTTCAAGAGGGTGAAGTCTACCTCACAAACTTGGAATCCTCTCATGAAATGGATCTGTTTGCGCTGAACCACAAATCCAGGATTCAGGCAGCCTGTGAGCTTCCTGCATGAGGACAAACGTCCACGACCGCTGCAAACGGTCAGCAAGGCCTTGCTTGAGTCGGCTACATCCCCTCTCACAAGATTAAGCTGGTTACCCATGTCCTCGCAGGTGCCGGCCTTCTTGACTCAGTCAACCTTCGTCATGCAAAGAACCTTCCAATTACCAAGAAAAACGCCGTGGTAATTCCGATGCCAGGGTTGGAGAGGTTTAAGCCTCGTCCAGGTGCTGATCCATGGAACCTCGGTTACAGCTGCTCAGCGCATTTTGCTGGAAGGACCTATCCATCCTGCTGACTGGACGTTCAATCCGGATCTCAAGCATACCCAACTCCCAACCTTTGGAGCTTACGCTTTGGGGATAGAGGCTTGGCCTGACATCCAGGTGCCCCAGTGGGCAGCCTTGGGCTTGTTGGCGAAGAAGGGGAAGGGATACTCATTGGAGCCTTTTACAAGGGCAAAGAAGCCCATTTGAGTCTCAGTGCTGGAGGGAACGACATGGCGCAGTTGAAGATTCCTTCGATGGGCCACGTCAGAAAAGCACACTCTGACGCATAGCCGTCGTAGAAGCATTTGCTTCTTGGCGGCGACCTGGGGCCAACTTACGTCAGGACCTCAGTCAGATTCCGAGGAAGACGAGGTCGAACCACCTTTTTCAGGAGTGACACTTGGATCCACCTACCCAATGGATGACCTTCTTGACTTGACCACAAATGAGACCAGCTGATTTTGGATTTAGGCATTTAGGCAAATTTCGGAACCAGAAACTGGATTTTGCTTTTCTCGGATTTCCGGGACAACCATTTTTGCAAAACGTGTCCCTGCACTGTTGCCTCAATCGGTGAAACCTTCTTGTTAGTGCTTCTGATTGCTTTCTTTTTTCCGTTTTCTGTTTGCATCTGTTGACGTGTCATTCTCATTCAAGTTTCACTGCTGCGCGCGATTTCAGTCTCATTGTTTTACACCTTCTCATGGCACTACGAACTGGTGTTGTTTTTCTTGAACCGGTGGTTCTTTTTAGTTTCAACCAACGGGGATTTCTGATGTGTAATCAAATCCTGGGGTCTTGGAGATGTCTTGTTGTGGGACCTCCTCTTGTGGCACCGCCTGCTGCATAGCTTGTTAAAGCTATCACAGCTGACCAGTCAATTGCGTCCGAGTGTTGATACCATGGCCGACTCTGACTGCTCTCGTTCGCCTTCGCCCCCTTGCAATCGACAAGAACAACCAGGGCAACGTCAGGCAATCCCTTGCTTTCCCAGATGGTGTGGCCCTATGGGCTCAGCAGTCCGGTCCTTACCAACCATGCCAAGACTTCAGAACGTACCGAAGTGGCCACCGTGCCGAACTATGCCCCAACCGTTTCCACCAACTCCACCGTCCATGCCTCCACCACCCATTCCCTGCCTCTCAACCTCGATGTGTCCCCTTCTCAGCCCGGTCCCATTTCCAACTCTGGCACAACAGAAGCTTCCAGAGTTTATGGGTTTGACCTGAACGAAAATTGGCAGGGTGACCGGGAACAACGGCTTGACCTTCCCCAGAGTGATCATCACTCAAAAGCTAGACATTGAAGGTTTGCAGCTGATTGCCCAACGAAGAGGGCTGCATTCATGACTGATATAACTCTGGGACGCTGGAGTCACGTACCTGCCAGTTCAAAACTTTTTGCATTGTTTGTTTCATCATATATGGCAAGCGGCTAAGCCCAGAAGCGGCGTGTCGATCATTTGGGAACTCTCCAACTTTTTCACTCTGGCAACAACACTGGCTATGGCGATGATTGCTCCATAACATTTCTCGGGTCTCTTCATTGACCCGTTCCTGTCAGGTGTAATGGAAGTGTTTTTGCACGTCAGATGCATTCCACAACAAAATTCGCAATGACAGTTCTGAGCAAGTATGTAATGTTGGGCGATGTTATCCAACGTTTTGTTATGTTATGCTATGTAATGTAATGTCATGCCATGTAATGTAATGCATGTATGTATCGTTGTGCTCGCAGGTGTCTGCGGATATACATATAAATATATAAATAAATAATATATATATATAATCTCAAGGTTCTTGTGACGATCCGTAATATTGATTTTTGCGAACGTGTTATTTTTCGGAATCCGAAAGGAAAATTTGTTGTGGGAAAGTTTTGCGACGGTTTGATATCATGCATCCAGCAAGGGTCCCGCAAAAGATAGCCATGGAATCGCCAAAGTTTTGCGAAATTAAAGTTGCTGTATGTTTCACAAAAAATGGAATCGCTAAAGTTGCTGGATATATATATATATATACACACAACTATATATACATATATATATATTATATTATATATATATAGAAAAATTTAGATATGAGTATTTTCATGTGTGTATGTATAGTATGCCTTAACCCGGACAAACTTTCGTTTGGGAAGGCCAAAGCCATCATCACCGACAACGCCGGATCACCAAAACCTCCAACCCTCAGAGGCCTGCTGGTGCACTTGTATGGGTCCAAACCCGTTACCCCCTCAAAATCCTAAAAGGCGTGGTTGTTGAACATATACACAGCTTTTCCTCCATATTTTTGTATATAGTCATGTATGTTTATAGATACATATATAGGTACATACACGTGCACATATACATATATATATATACATACATATATATATAGATAGATACATACATACATATATATATACATACATACATATACATACATACATATACATATATATATACATACATATACATATATATATACATACATACATATATATATAGATACATACATACATATATTTATATATACATACATACATATACATATATATATACATACATATATATAGATACATACATACATACATATATAGATACATACATACATATACATATATATATATACATACATATACATATATATATATACATACATACATATACATATATATATATACATACATACATATATATATAGATACATACATACATATATTTATATATACATACATACATATACATATATATATACATACATACATATACATATATATACATACATACATATATATATATATTGATGCATACATACATATATTTATATATACATACATACATATACATATATATAGATACATACATACATATACATACATACATATACATATATATATATACATATATATATATATATAGATACATACATACATATATTTATATATACATACATACATACATATATTTATATATACATACATACATACATATACATATATATATACATACATATACATATATATATACATACATACATACATATATATATATAGATACATACATACATATATTTATATATACATACATACATATACATATATATATGTATATACATACATACATATACATATATATATATATACATATACATACATATATATATAGATACATACATGCATATATTTATATATACATACATACATATACATATATATATACATACATACATATACATATATATATACATACATACATATATATATATAGATACATACATATATTTATATATACATACATACATATACATATATATATACATACATATATATATACATACATACATATATATATAGATACATACATACATATATTTATATATACATACATACATATACATATATATACATACATACATATATATATATACATACATACATATATATATATAGGTAGATACATACATATATTTATATATACATACATACATATACATATATTTATATACATATATATATACATACATATATATATACATACATACATACATATATATATATACATACATATATATATACATACATACATATATATATAGATACATACATACATATATTTATATATACATACATACATACATATATATATATTTGAGCTGACGCTCAGCGTCGGCTCCGCCGGTTTACTCGACCCGCCATTTCATCGCAGTGTGGGCTTGAAAACTATTGAATGAGGACCTGCTTCAGAAATATTCCTTACGTTGTTTGGAACATATTTGTTGGAAATAGACGGTTTTTTGGGGAACAAGTGAGTTCCCGAAAGCTCCTGCGAAGGGTTTTTCCTAACGAATTGCTGCCAATTTCAACTTGTTACTTCGTGTAAGGGCGCCTTTGTGCAAAAACTTTCTGTGTAAAAACTTTGGTGTAAAAAATTCTGTGTGTAAAAACCAATTTGTTTAAAGACGTCTTTGTGTAAAAACTTCCTTCTGTGTGTGTGAAAGCTTCTCTGTGTGAAAACGCGTTTGTGTAAACATTTCTCTGTGTGTAAAAGCTTCCGTGTGGAAAAACTCTCGGTGTAAACGCTTCTCTGTGTAATTTTTTTTGTGTGTAAACACGTCTGTGTGTTAAAAACTCTCTGTGTAAAGACTTCTCTGTGTAACAACTGCTGTGTGTAAAAACTCAGATGTTTGTGCGCAAAAACTCCTTAGAGTAAACATTTCTCTGTGTAAAACCTTCTGTGTGTAAAAAAATCCTCTGTGTAAAGGCTTCTCTGTGTAAAAACCTCTGTGTGTGTGTAAAAACTTGCTGTGTGTAAACGCTTTTGTGTGTAAAAACTCCTCTGTGTAAAGGCTTCTCTGTGTAGAAACTTCCGTGTGCAAACGCGTCTGTGTGTAAAAAACCCTCTGTGTAAAGATTTCTTCGTGTAAAAACTTCTGTGTGTAGAAACTCCTAGACGTTTGTCTGCAAAAGCTACTGCGAGTAAAGGCTTCTCTGTGTAAAACCTTCTGTATGTAAAAAACTCCTTTGTGTAAAGACTTCTCTGCGTAAAAAACCCTGTGTGTGTAAAAACTTCTGTGCGTCTCCTCCCTCCAGCTTTCATTCGGGTCACGCTGTGGTCCAGTTTCAAGCAATGTTGTTTCTTGTGGAAGAATGCAAAGAACATGTGAAAGCACCGCGCGTTTAGAAAATAAACAGAAACAGCGCACAAAGTGCTGTAATCTCTGTCAGATGGCAAGAACCCGCGTAAATACCACGTTTTAGTCCTCGAAAGTGGTTCAAAAAGTGCAAAAAAATGCTGTAATTTACAAGGGTTTGGCGCCGTCACGGGCAAAAACCGGTTTAAATACCAGCGTTTCGGCGTCCAAAAGTTGCCAAAACACCGCTATTTACAGTGTTTCGTGCCTTCCACGTTTTCTTGAAATTGCAAAAACATTGTAAATACTAGCATTTTTTGCGATCAACCCGCCAAAAATGCTGTAATTCGAAAAATGTGTCAAAACGGCACTTTTTTCCGATTTTATCTTTCAACCTCCATGCCGGAGTAGAACCAGCATGACGTAACCGTAGTCGCCCTTGGGCTCATGTTGCGCCGCGGATATGTGTATATTTAAATACACACCCGTACTAATTCATCAAATTTGACACACAGCCAAAGGAGAAAAAACTACGAAACCAATCTCGGGATGAATGGGTTGCCTTCGGCCGGGCATCGCCAGGTGATCACTGCAGACCGCACACTGACATTTCAGGCGAAGATTTCGTGAAGGTGGGATCTGTTGTTTTCATCCAGTTGCCAAGCCTCCAGTGACTCCAGTGTTTAGGCAAAAAATCGACAAACCTATTCCAGCCTGGATTTTCGCACTTGCAGAGTTAGAATCCTGTAAATTCGCAGCGTTTTGGGTAATTGCCCTCATGGTAGCTGGTGATTTTTTTTGGCACCGGAAAAAGCCTTGGTGCCAGGCCGGACAATTGGCAAGCAAGATGCAGGTCCCGTTGGGTGAAGATCTCATGATCAAGACTACTGTACCTGGGGTTGATTGACAGTTGATTTACATAGGGGCTATTGTTTCCAATCTGATGTGCCACTGTTTTTGGGATGCCTCCCCTATGATTGTATCCCCATCCCAGTTATATCCCCAATAGATCTGCAGTATATTGCCAATATTTTCCCAATGTATCCCAATAATTATATCCCACTATAGATGCCTTCAGATACAGATGAATCAACTTCAACTTGACCAGCTGACCTTTGATGAACGAAGCCGGCTGTCATTTTGTCTAGGCCTTGGGGCCCTTCCAAAGCAACTTGGTGGTGCCTAGCAACGATCCTTCGATCAACAATCCGTTGGTTCACCGCCAGGCATGTGTGAAAATGATCTTTCAGCCAAGGAAAATGATGTTCCCCATTTGATGGCAAGGAGCAATAGGAAATGATGATTGACCAGTGGATGGAATGAGGGTTTTCCAGTGGTTCTCGCCTGCTTTTCATGGGAAATCCAGAACTGGTGGTGCGATGTCAGCCTGGGCAGGAGCCAGCTGGTGATAGCGGTCGGGCGTCTCGGGTGCCTGCTGACTTCAGGGTGTGTCATGACAGTGGGGATATCATGGGGAGATATTTGATGGGTATAATGGCATTACAATGGGGATATAATGGGGATCAAATTATGATGGTTTGTCTTTTGCATAATATATAATGGCATTCTCCCCAAACAACCACCATTATAATCTGATTTTTTCCCCAAATAAGGGCATTTTCCTGGGGAATATGATGATCAACCATCAACCTTGGGAAAAATCGGATGTCCAAACTCCAAATGATTTGTGTTGCCAGGAATTTTGCGGCTTGGAAGAGTTGGATGTTGTTCTTGCTGAGGACGGGATATGATGAGAACTGCGAGTCGCACACTACTCAGTGGCTGGAGACCGGGCCACACTGGGCCAGGGGATGGAGATGCAACTCATTGGTCTTGGTCTCTTCCGTGTTTGAGTTTGTTGGTCTGGGTCCATTTGGAGGTTTCCATGAATGGGGGTATCCCTAAATCATCCATTTGAATAGGATTTTCCATTATAAACAACCTATTTTGGGGTATCCCATTACTTTTCTCCTAGCTGCAAGAAGTGCCGACGAGGTATGTTCATCAGCGGTGAGCTGGATCGTGCGGGTGCCGTCCTCAGATTTGAAGTCCAATTTGACAGGCGGTTCGAAATAAAAGCAGTTGCAAAGTTGCATTGCTGAGGTTATGAGAAGTTCCTGGTCCAAAACGGAATCATGCTGCCTTCTCAGTTGCCCACATCTGTCACATCTAGAATCTAGATATCTGGTTTTGATTGCAAAGCGCGGTGGCTAAGACAAGGCCATGAAGTTTGAGACATAGGTCTTTGATTTTGCATTTCATATGCTTCCAATTCGTTGAGGCTAACATCTGACTGCGACCTTCAAAAGCTGATTGTGAGCCACGAGAGGGTGCGCCCGGAAGAATGGCCTTGAAGTGCGCAGAAACTAGGTTCAGAGGTCAGAGGGGAGTTTTAAACGTTCCCTTCCTGATTGAGACCCCATGCGGACTGGATCTGATGGATTCGCTGCGAAGATTTGGCTCAACAGGATAGACATAACGTGTGCAATTCTATCGGTGGAAGACATCCATGGCCAAGATTGCTATTCCACCCAAGTGTCCTGCAAAACAAACACCGCAAAGACATGGAAACGAGACAACTACCGACGGAGAGTGTAACTGGGTGAACGTCCAATATGATGCAGTCCAAGCAGGGCAGGGTGAAATGACAATACCCTCTGGTAAACCAACATAACTATGGAAAATCACAATTTTTCATGGGTAAATCAACTATTTCTATGGCCATTTTCAATAGCTATGTTTGTTTACCAGAGGGTACTGAAGCGACCCAAACATTCGATTCTTACCATGGACCGGGATGGCAAGCTTGGACGAAGAGTTGGATGAGGACCTCTTGGCCTCGAGGTGAGAAGCAACCAGGGAAAGTGATGGGGAAGCTGCTGAGAAAAACCAGTGGAAACATCATCCTTTTGGTTGGGAGTGAAGACTCGTTTTTGGTTAAAACATGATATAATTACACACACACATATATATATACACATCATATAGCTATGCTACACCCTCCCAAGACCCACCTTTTCAGATGAAAAATGCCACAAAGATAACAAATACACATGTATAATCATGTATCTATGTATATATATACATAATATAGCTAGATATATCCTTCCAAAACAGCATCTAAAACGTAGGTAGTAGACAAAAGTAAAGAACAAAATAAGAAAGTGGAGCCCTGTAAAGAAGCAGTATCCCTACAAAATATAGAGCATTCCTCTAAACATGCAGTGTTCCTTTCTGGAGAAGTGCAGTCTTCCTTTCAGACAATTATTCAGCCTTAACCATACAGTATTTCTTTCGAAACACCAGATTCCTCCCCAATCTTCAGTGTCTGATTAACATTCAGTATTGCAGTGACAAAAGTGCAATGGTCGATGCACATTGCAGCATTCCTTGAAAAAGAAAGACTGTTGTTAAAGGAAAGTGCTGCTTACAGGTTACAGTCTGCCTTGAAGACAAGATATTCCCTCAAATAAGAAACACTATTCACTATTCTGAGCAAGAAAACTAGAAGTGTGGAAAGATGAGCTATACATCCTCTAATGGAGCTCAGCCTTCTCATCCTGCGTGCATGACCATTGTTTAAGGAAGACTTAACTTCGTCAAAATTCAGTAATTGCATTGAAGACAAGGTACCCCCTTAAATAAGCAGCGGTAATCTTTCAGAAAAGTACAATATGTGGACAGATGCAATACATCCTTTAAAGAAGGTCAGCCTCCCTCTCATTTTGTAAAGACTTGCATTTGACAGTGCGCCGAGGTCACATCCGAATGCATCGCCTGATTTGTGGGCTCGAACCGCCCCTCACATTTTCTTAGGCCTGACGCCATATGGTCTCGGTTTGCGCTGAGGAAAAGCTGCCTGCATTGTGTCTTGGCGAGCGCCTCAACACCCTGCATTAACAGTGGTACTCGGAGCTGGTTGCATCATTGGGCATTCGTTAACCGCTGCGCTTTGCTTTCTTTGATCAACTCTGCAAGTGGCTTGGCATTTGGTGGCTGTGGGTAACCGTGCGGTGAGCCCCACTTCAGACTGACTGCTTTCGGGCCAAACAGCAGTTGTAACTGGATACAAGGTAACCTTTGACTGGAAGCAACTGGGAATTCACGTGTTTCAATTTTTGCTGGTTTTTCACCTTTTGTGCCGACCGCCGGGCTAATGGCGGATGGTGAGAAGGGTGGCGGCGGAGGTGCATGGAGCTTTGTACCCACTTGGGATGGGTCACCACAGACATGGAGAGCATTCAAAAGGGAGATGTCTTGGTGGTTGGCTGGATTAACCATTCAACAACTACAAAGTATAACCTGGCTGCGAGATGGCTCTCACGTCAATCAGGAGTGGTCAGACAGAGAGGAGAAGAGTTCCTGCCTGAAGAGTTAGCACATCAGCCTGAGGTGAAAACAACTGATCCGCAGACTGGTGAATCCTATGTCCTGACTCCGGAGCACCCATTAGCTGGTATCAACAAATTGCTGCGTGCGCTGGAAGAGATGACAGGTCGAACGTCCTTGGACAAGCGTGGAGAGTTGCGTGGCCAATTTTTCAATGAGCTGCGTAGACGTCCACGTGAGAGGATCTCTGAATTTTGCACTCGATTTAGGATGCTGGTTTCGGAACTTCGTGCTGAAGGTGTGGCATTGCCGAGTTCTGAACTTGGATGGTTTCTTCGTGATAAATTGGGGCTGGACCCGTTGCGAAAACAGTTGTTAGAAACCGGACTTGCTGCAAAGGAAGAATACGAAGGCATTGAACGAGAAGTCCTGCGTTTGTTTAAAGATTTGCACACAGCTGATCCCTTGTACAAACGCTTGGGTGATGGTGGCCGTGGCAATACATTGAAGCCTTTTGAACCACCAAGTTCTTCCATGTCCTCTAGGAGCTCTATCCCATCTTCAGCAGCCACTCAGTCCTCTTCCTCTGTGTAATCCTTCCGGTCTAGTGCTCCCTTATCATCTCGGCCTCCTTTGAGACAGTCGGGCAACTTGGATGGCGGACGTCAAGCATTGGCAACGGAAGCTGATCCACCAGAGGATGAAGCCGATGACAGTGTCGATGCTGATGAGACCCCTGAGGTTGAAGGGGACTTGGCTTTGGAAGAGATTTTGCAGACTGAGGCAGACATTCTGGCTGCCGAGTCGGAAGAGGCTGTCAATGAATGTGTTGATGCGCATCTCATTGAAGATCTGGAGGAGTCAGTTGAAGGAGCGGCAGAAGCCTCGATTACTATGAAAGAAGCTCGGATCAAGCTGAACGGGATGGAGGGAATGTCGCATACCATGACTACATGAAAACAGTGTTAACCAAAGAGGAGATCGAATCGATTCTGCCCCTCAATGCTTCTGCGGAATACATTGGTGACATCTTTGAATTTTGGCTTGGAATGCTCGAGCTGGGAATTCAGTTCCCCACAATGTTCAATGGGTGGGGAAAGAACATCGATAGTTGCCTTGCTGGACTTGAAGAATCTTTCTGGCTATTCAGCAGCTCTTGTCGCCACACCGAGACCATCAACACGAAACGCAATCGATCAAGGAAAGCCTACATCCCTTCGGTCGAGAACGAGATGGTGATAGCGATTCTGAGAGAGGGGAAGATTTTTGATCTACTCATTCAAAAGGAGATCACAAGGATGCCTACTATTCCAACAGCGAACTATGATGACAACCCCGAGTTGATTGAGGTCTCATCCAGTGAAGATGAAGAAGAAGAACCTGAGGTCATTGAACCAGAAGAAGACCCTTCGTCGCCTACGGCGCGTGGTACTCGGATGGAACAGACTTCAGGCGAAACTGGCGCAGGGGATGATGACATTGAGGTGGATGACGATGCAGAGGACATGGGGGGTCAACCGTCCGAGGCGAAGAAACGCCGGACGGAAGTTCGAAGTCTCCGTGATCAGTTTGAGAAGGTAGTCGTAGATGCATCGAACGTCCGATATTGTCTAGTATGTGGGGGCAATCACAATATTGATGAATGCCAAGCCCAGGACAAAGAGGCGGTGATTGATGCAATTGTGCGCATGAGACTGATGATGGAACAACAATCGAAATCCCCATCCTCTTCTGAAAGATCAGGAGCAGCTACAAGAGGAAGAAAGGATAAGCTCCCAAAGAAAGGAATCATGCCTGAAGGAAAGAGATGGAGAAGGACCAGGTTCACCGAGAAGGAAGAAGTGACCAAGAGCTTCTACAGTCAACCGGCATTTATGTACGAGATTGGTGATCGAGAAGAAGGTGGATCTTTCCTTGTGAACGGAGTTGAAGTCCATCCTCCAGGCCAAGGCGTGAGAAATCGTCAAGAACTTGATGCACTTGTCGAGAGAGCGGCCGAAGATTCTCCTCCAGTACTGCCATCGATCCAGGAGCTCAACGAACTGAACCCCAAGAACGCAGAACAATTCCGAAAATGGATGGAAGAGCAACGATCCGAACATGGTGCCAACTGGAACTTCCGCTATCTCCAACCATACACTTACGGCCATGACGTTGGCGTTCTCCAAATGGCCCGACTATCTGGTGAAGAATACGTTGGCAATGGTTGGTGCAATGTCAGGAAGTATGCC